TTCACAGTCGCTAATTGAGCGACTAAGCGACACTCGCAATAGCATCGCTAATCGATAATCGCTTAATAGTCGTTTATCTACTGCCAGTCGACATTCGCAATAGGGGTGCGAGTTTAACTGCTAGGAATGTAGTAAATGCCACGATATTGGGCGCGTTCACAAGACGTAGCTGTTTAGCTCATCTGCTACGAAACTGATGGCATCTGTTGAACCCAACAATTACGTCTTAGAAACGGCCTGACGAACGGCCTCAACGTGCAGATTTCTAATTTTACACAGTTTTTATTGATCCCAACACACACCTTTCCTGCACTAGGCCAAACGTTAATCCCACTTTTTAATATTTCGGGCCACCTAATGTACATAAGTATTTTTATGTCTACCACATAGAAAAGAAAAAACTATGTTTGTAAGTACACTTAATAGAACCATCAAATGGTTTACAAAAACCTTTTTTTTTAATTATAAATATGTATTTTGGGTTCTCACCGGGCATTGCCTTATGGGAACCCACGCTGCCGGGATGGATTTTAAGTCAAACGATTACTATCGTAGCTGCCGCGATGAGGAGGGAATCGAAGGCATGGAACATTACCTATGCCACTGTCCCGCTTTGGCAAGGGCTCGTCGGCGCTCGCTCCTCCACTATTCTTTTGAGTGTCTAGACTCAACTGCAACTACATATTGCGGCAACCTCAGTAGTGTGTGCTCTGCTATGAAATAAACATACTGAAGAAATTTTTCTTTCAATGAACTAAAAGTACGTTTCCACCATGGTACAATAATTACAGGTATTGTCTTCCAAGAGAGCGCATATTCCGATCTGCCTTATTTGAAAAACATCATTGTTGCCCACAATAAAAGGTTTACTTCTAGGGAAAAGGGATATTTCCTTACCCCATATATAATATACATATGTACACGTATTTGTTTTTAACAAACCTTGCAGTGGACTTATTTTATTTGCAAAAGCCAAAAAAACATTTCTTTAAATTAAATAGATTCAAGATTTGTATGGCTCACTTCATTTCAAACGTTTTTTCTTTTGTTTTGAAAAATTAAATTGAGCAAAAACAAAAAGCAAAGCTAAATAAAAGTAAAAGAATCAACATTTAACTGCGTCAAAATTAAAATAAGGGAGCACGAATTTCAATGTGAAGCAAAACTCTCTGGGAAGAAAATACCTGTTATTAGGTTTGTATAGTAACTTCTCCAGTAAAACATTGCAGCCAGAGCGTAAAAGCAAAACAGAGCGTAAAATTGAGAAGAAGAGAAAACTAGCAGGAAATGTTATTGAACGCAAAACTAGTAAAAACTTGCAAGTGAATAGTTGTTGCACCCTTTTGATGTTCTCCTGCAAACATTTTACTATTTATAAATCAGTTTTAAACTCTTTGCTTTACACACAATAAAATCAATTTAAAGGTGAGTCATACGGTTCCGGAGATTTGCCATTTGTATATAAATCGCCGTTTAAAGTACAAAACCGTGTATGAGGTTCTGCAAAACCAAGTAACTGACTTTTGTGCTATGAGATTTGCTCACCGGAAGCTCCTGACATCAAACCTTATTCATTCATACCAAAATATCGATATTTAGATATAAAAGGTAGAGATAATTAGGGATGAAAGAGATAAGGTTTTACCATGACACAAAAAAGAAGGTAGTTCCACTTAATGGCATTGGTTGTTGTTGTTAACCATTTGACTTTTCATAAAATTATGACATTTCATTAAATTCATGCTACCTGATCACTAGAAGTAATATTTTTTTTTAAATAAGACAGCCAAAGTCCCCCATGTACAGCACAAAGGACAGCGCCTAAAAAGTATTAGGGAATATGCAGATATACAAACAAAAGACGTTCGTCGGAAATGTAATAAATGAACAAATAAACACCGCATCTGATATATGATTCGAACCACTCAAGCTACTATACACAAAACAGGACAGAAACCCTGCGACGCCCATAAACAATGAAACACAAGGGGAAACTCAAGAAAAAAAGAGAAAGAAAATAACAGATTTTTACCTACTTGCGAACAGCGTTGCCGTGTTGGTCCAATTGGACCAAAATTGCTAGCTTCATTCTACGTTGGTAGCTTGGTTGGTTTGATGAAGCTTTTGGCAGGCAAAATTGTTTTGAAAATGCAATCAAATTGAACGTTAAAATTTGTTTGCTTAATCTAAGTTTACACGTTCAAAACACTGCTTTCACCTTGCTTACACGTGTAATCTTTCTTTTTGTTTTTCTTTATTTTATTAAACAGACAATTTTCTGCAAACAAAAACTCACTTCCCAAAGCTATGACCGATTAGCTGTTGAAATTAACGAGAAATTACCTATAGTCTTGAAAGAAAAAGAGAAAGAGAAAAAGATTGGCAATTTGCAAAGTGTGAGTGTATAGGTAATAAAAAAGGGTGAGTATATGCAAATTGAATCAAATTTGGATTTTTTTATTGAAATGCATAAAATGTCTGCTTCTGTTTATTCACACACAAACAATTTTTTTTTTATATGAATTGAATCAATCTCAAAGATATTGGCCCCTATTGCGAGTGTCGACTGGCAGTAGAATAGAAATTTGTCGATCGAGTCGATCATTTTTTATTTTGCTATTGTGTAACTTGATCGATAAAAATTTGTACTATTGTGAATGGTCGATAGAATTGTAAACAGCTGTTTGTTTGTTTACATTTGTTTCTTGAGTGTTTTATTTACATCATTTTTAAAATAATTGATTTTATTATAAAATTTAAAAAATGGTCACAGTTGAAATATGGTTTAGTGATGAGGAAGATGATGCGGAAGCTAATAGATTAGTAGAGTTAGCTAAAGCAAGGAGGGAATTGCGAGATTCGTCGGATCCCTTGGACTTTGAAGGTGTATGTACACGTGTGAGTTTTATGAATAGAAGTTGCGTTCCCGATGCTTCACAGTTTTTAGGCTTTACATGATTTGCAGGAAAAGCTGTTTTCCTCATTAATAAACTTTATGGAAGTTTAAGAAATACGGTACGGTTAAGTTTTTTGTACAATGATGTTGGGTTTTTGTGTCCAAACGCGTGACCCGAGTTTAAAAATTTTAACATAACAACATAACAAGTGTATTGAAAGAATTAAACTTTAATTTAAAATAAAGATTTCAAATTTCCGAGCACTAGTCAATTAATAAATTATGCAGTTTTTTTGTATAAACTTTTGATGTTGGTTCTGCGCAAAAACACTGTGGATGGCGTAGCCGGA